CTTCAAGTCTCAAAACTCGTCAAATTCGAGCAAAAATCTTCAAATCAAAATGATCCTCGACGCATGAGCCAAAAATGCATGTCATAAAGTTCATTAAATTCTGTTGAATCTTCAAGTTTCAAAGCTCATCAAATTCGAGCAAAACCTTCAAATCAAAATGCTCATTGACGCACAAGTAAAAAAAAAATATATGTCATAAAGCACATCAAATTCGAACTAAGTTTTCAAGTCAAGAAGTTTCTCAAATTGGAGCAGAATCTTCAAGTCTCAAAGCTCGTCAAATTCGAGCAAAATCTTCAAATCAAAATGCTCATTGACGCACAAGTAAAAAAAATATATATGTCATAAAACACATCAAATTCGAACTAAGTTTTCAAGTCAAGAAGTTTCTCAAATTGGAGCAGAATCTTCAAGTCTCAAAGCTCGTCAAATTCGAGCAAAACATTCAAATCAAAATGCTCATTGACGCACAAGTAAAAAAATAAAATATATGTCATAAAGCACATCAAATTCAAACTAAGTTTTCAAGTCAAGAAGTTTCTCAAAATTGAAGCAGAATCTTCAAGTCTCAAAGCTCGTCAAATTCGAGCAAAATCTTCAAATCAAAATGATCCTCGACGCATGAGCCAAAAATGCATGTCATAAAGTTCATTAAATTCTGTTGAATCTTCAAGTTTCAAAGCTCATCAAATTCGAGGAAAATCTTCAAGTCAAAATGCTTCTCGACGCACGAATCTAAAATGCATGTCATGAAGCTCATCAAATTCGTGCTAAGTCTCAAGTTTTGAAGCTCTTCAAATTTAAGCTATGTTTCAAATCACGATGCTTCTCAAATGCGAGCCAAGTCTTCAAGTCAAGAAAGCTTCAAATTGTTACTTTTGGCCCTTATGAATTTTAAATCTATATGGTCAAAAAAATCCAATAGGTGAAAACCTTGAAATAAGTGGCCTAGAAAAAATTATAAAAAAAACTACACATGTTTTGTATGGAAGTGTAAAGTAAATACATTTTATTGCTTCAAAATTGCAAGAGTTTTTTTACACATCATAAAAAAGAGATGAAAAATGGACATATTATCCCATACAAAAGGTCTAAGTAGAACAAAATAATCAAACATCAAAAAGTGGTTTGTCAACTCGTCTTGGATGTCTTTATCAAGTTCGCATCACCTCTTCATCAAACATCATTGCTTCAAATATTTTTATGGATCGATGTAGCCATAAGGGAGCCTCTATCTCTGACATGGGGGCATTTTTTGAAGTTTGATTTAATAAGTTGATAATGTGACAAGTAGTTCCTCTTCAGAACTAGGACAAACTGCGGCAAAATCTCTTTCTCGCCAAAGACAAAACTACAAAGAAAGAGGTACAAAGTGTGATTCATCGCCAAGCTTCAATTTAGAGGAAGATACATTAAGTGTTGTTCTCGTCAAAGCTGCAATTGTAAAAGAAGATGCATCATTTGTGATTTGTCATCAAAGTCACAACTGCAAAAGAAGATGCACTAAATATGATTCGTCTTCAAAGTTGCAATTGAAAAGGAAGATGCATCATGCGTGGTTCGTCATCAAAGTCGCAATTGTAGAAGAAGATGCACTAAGTGTGGTTCGTCGCCAAAGTCGCAACAGTAAAAGAAGAGACATTAAGTGTGGTTCGTCGTCAAAGTCGAAACTGCAAAAAAGAGGCATCAAGTGTGGTTCATCGTCAAAGTCGAAACTGCAAAAGAAGAGGCATCAAGTGTGGTTCGTCATCAAAGCCGCAACTGCAAAAAAAAGAAAAGAAAAAATATATTTCATGTGTGGTTCTTCATCAAAGCCACAACTCTAAAAGAAGATAATCCATGCCGCAATTGTAGAAAAAAATGTACTAAGTGTGGTTCATCGCTAGAGTCGCAATTGCAAAAGAAGAGGCACCAAGTGTGGTTCGTCATCAAAGTTGAAACTACAAAAGTAGATATTCGTCGTCGAAGTCGCAACTGCAAAAAAATAAAAATATTTCATGTATGGTTCGTCATCAAAGCCACAACTCTAATAGAAGATGATTCACGTATGATTCGTCATCCAAGCTGTAGTTGTAAAAGAAGATGTACTAAGTGTGGTTCGTCGCTAAAGCCACAATTGCAAAAGAGGAGGCACCAAGTGTGGTTCGTCATCAAAGTTGAAACTGCAAAAGTAGATGCATCATGTGTGACCGCAAATGCAAAATAAAATGC